AAAGAGAAGAACCGTTAAAACTTCAGCAAGTGCCTTCTGCTGTGCTTTACTGCGTATACATTACAGCCTCTGTAGAATGGTGGACACGTCATGTATGTTTGGTCCATCTCCTGTACCGTGGAAATTGGACTGTGATAAACACAAGTGGCAGCTGAGAGAAATATAGTTTACTACGAAACGCAACACTCAGCGAGAAGATATATCTGAGTGGACCTCACAAACACCAAAACCAGAAATAAACATCTAGGGAAATAAAATCATTTTGCCGTGTTGTTTCTGGTTAAACAATTCAGTTTTCAGCGTTTCTAGTTGGAACAATTTGCTTCATTCAACAAATACAAGTTTACCACAAATGACTGTTTCAGCCAGGGTAACGTAAGCAGAACAAATCTTTTTGCTCTCTTAGCAGGTGTTGGACTGTGAGAAAATACGCTCATTCTGATAAGACCCCTCCTCGCCTCCTTCTCCTCGTTTGCGATGAGGTTCACATCGTCTTCAGATGACACGCCCGTTAGGACATTGACCTGCTTTGTCTGTGTGAGTGTGCTGACCGAGAGGGCGTGTGGTTTTACAAAAAGGAGACGGTGCCTTCCTTAGCAAATAATCAAGCTTCAGAGAGTGGCGATGAGAGATGCTGCTAGTGACAAGATTAGTGATGTACTCCAGCGCGTTCTCTCATCTACAAATTAACACGGCGGAAACTCAACCACACAGGACACATGTACACACACACAGCCACCACCCACACACACACACACACACACACACACACCAACAACCACACACACCACAAACACACACAACACACACACACACACACACACACACACACACCACACACACACACACACACCACACACACACACACAACACCACACACAGCACACGCACACCACACACGCCACAACAGACTGATTAAAATAGTTTAGTGCTGCTGATAGAGCGACATTTTGCCCAACATTTCTCCACTGGAGGGAAACTTTTGAGAGCATTCAGTCTGGAAGAGGCAATATATGCTCGCTTCTGATGACTATACTCAAGCTTAATGAGCCATCGTCCAGAAGTCTATCTTAATGATTCTCGTTTGGAGTGGTTGTGGAGGGATGCTGGGTTAATTACGTCGGCTTAAACTAAATAGCATGACATGGTATAGTCAATTCTAAGGTACACAAAACAAAACATCGATTTAAAACTGGTGAACTTGAGAAACTAAGGCAGCGCTACAATAAAAAAAGCAAAAAAGCCAACAAACAGGGCGGAGAGATGGATGTGGGGGAAGCTGTCTAACTCTATTTGCCATCATTCACATCGGGATCTGCGCAGGGATCAACCATTCATACTGGTGGGCGAAACTTCTGAAGCATTGGAAAACAGACTAGAGAGAAGAGGAGACGCTGGAGCTTTGATGGCAAACACATGACTTGTTTTATTTGAGTCTACGGCGGAGAACTGACAAGAAGGTGGTGGTCACGAGTTGACACAGCGCGTTGCCAACCAATTCTGAAGACTCTTCTGCAGCGTCGAGGTCTTTAACTAGTTCGGCAAGTGCAATAATCAACGATTCTTTACTCAGTGAGACTCAGAAACAACTATGACCCTGATCTACTAGAGCTCCGCCATAGAAAAGAATGCGCACAGGCGGAATCCTACGGGTCTGGAACGTAAACTACTCATGGCGCTCTGCGCGTGCCTCATGTCTAGCCTGGCAACGCCACTGGCCCAAGCGCTCTCTTGCGCCTTTTTCCTCCTTAAGAGAGACAGCAGCATACACAAGGCCGTACTATGCATGGAAAGGAGACAGTGAGAGGAGAAACGATGAAGCTGGTTCGAAGGTTGACATACTACAGCAAATTATTCCCTAACCCAGCATAAACAGAGAGACGAAGTTTGCACAGGTGCTCACCCTTGAGAACGCCCATGGAGCACGCTTTCCTCTGCGAGCCAGAAGAAGCATCTCAGGTATATTCATGGTAGGCGGGTGCCACTACCCGCTCATAAATCTCTGCAGGAAGACAAATTACAAATGGGTCCATTTTCCGTTCAAGCTTTTTCAATTTGAGTTATACCTGTGTGTTCCTCCGTTTAGAGAACTAATCCCCCCCTCGTGTTCAGGGTACTGCCCTGCTAAGTCCTCTTTAACTCCTTCCCTGAGGAGGGTATAGATAGCCACATGCTTTTCCAAGTGGGGCTTCATGCCTCCTTATTATTGTGCCAGCAGGATGCTTCCCACACAAACAGTAAACACGCCTCTTCATTAGCAGATGCACGGTAGAGGCAGTCGACCTCAGGGGCAATTCGACCTGAGTTGAACCTATCTGAAACATGGAAGAGGTTGCTCTTTATACATCATCGCGCGCCGCAGAGTCACGGGCGCTGCCAGTTATAAAAACAGAATTACTCACTGGCTCAAAACCTTCTCCTGTCTCTCCGCGCTCTCCTTTAAAGAACGTTAGTTAAATGATGTGTTTCACATTCAATTCATAAACCAATTTTATACGTAAGAATAAAGGCAGTAGAACTATTGTCATGTACAAGATAATGTTTGGTGGCTTGCCATGACATTCGGAATATGAAATTGAGTAATGCGGTGAAAGAAAACAAATGCACTTAATAAGGTTAGTGTATTGAGCCTGATGATAGTGTTGGTGACATCCCTAATTTAAAAATAATCTTTAGCAACTACGCATATCATATCTGTGTTTCTGATGGCATTGCTGTGTATGACATCAGTAACGCTTCCAGACGAACACATGGTATCTCCTTTTTTCTGATCGACACAGCTCAATACACATTCATCCCGAGCTCTTACTGTTGCAGTTCGAATGTGAAGTACACACTGAGGAGGGGCAATGATTCGCCAGAGAGACCTTGGCTGCCAATGCTCCGTCACGCCGCCAGGCTCGCTAAGGGAAGCCCTCAGTGTGGGCTGTGGCCTTTGGCTGCGGTCAGTGAAGACGCACCTCACTGCCTGGCCACTGCTCCTCTCCAAGCTCCAGGAACCTGCGGAAACAAAGCGCGGGCGCCCCCACGTGCTGCTTCTAGTAAGAGGCCTACAATAAAGTTTCTCTGAGACAATCGCCTGGATGGTTCCGTATGCGTTGTTGCATTAAAGCTATTACTGAACGAATGTAATTTTCCTGTTCACAAAAAAACCCTGAATGTCATTATCAGAGCTGTCTAAGCTTGTGCTCTCCTTTCGACTGAGAGATGCACGCTCAACTCATTTACAAGCAGTGCACTAAACAGTCCCCTCCGATTTGCAACAACACCATTTCAGAGTGTAATCACAACACTAGTCAGGCATATGGTAGCTATATTACTGTTAAGTGCAACATCACGAACACACACAATAAGCCCACATGAGAGTCAACTACTTTACATTGGCGTATTAGTATTTCCAGCCAATCCTCTTCTCCACACGAACCGCTGAGATTCCACCAGCAGTAGGACACTAAGTGAAGAGCTGCCGATACACACTCATCACCCCTCGCTTAAGACGAGAGCTTAGATGTTTAAAGCATTGCGTGTGAACATTATTGCAAGAAGAAAAATAGACACTCATGCCAAGTCTAGCAAACGGAATTGATTTATCTGCAAAATGGAATCTAAT